ATCAAAAGTGTTGCATTATCATTAATTCCATTTTCAATATAATGAAACTGTTTCACTATTATATATTGAATCATTTATAAAATAAAAAATTGTATTACGAAAATGAAACTGTTTCATTTTACTAAACCCATTTCACGAATCTTGCATCTCTTAGAATATGAATTTTTTTTACATCATGACAATGTTTCATTGATATATATATAATATGCTTTGAAGACTAATATAAGTCATTTACACATGAAACACACATGAAACATTTTTCATGACTATAGAGTGTAATGAATATTTGTTTTTTTTTTCACCTGCAGCAACCCACGATTTCATCAATATATTTGATGAAATCTTCATAATTTGTTTCATTATTCATTATAGTTATCATTAAAATAATAATTTTAATAATATAATTTCCTTATATATTGAAACGTTTCCTTTCTTCAATATTTATTTTATTTAATTTCCTTATATAATATGAATTAATAACTTCCATAATTACGAAATATGTGAACAAAATGTCATAAATACCCTTATTATTTAAATTTAATTGAAAACAAATGGAATTTTCTTATTGGTCGAATTTGGTTTACACGGTTTTTTAGAATTGGACGGTTCGCATTTGAACTGGCCCCTATATATATATATATATATATATATATATAAATACACACACACATGCACACACGTGCGCGCGTGCATGTGTGTGTGGTGGCATTTTTGTTTAAACCCAAATGGTCACAGCCGCCAAAATACCAAATTGCTGTAAATATTGTGATCTAAAATAGTGGTTATCGCGGTGGTAAAGCGATGGTATAGCAGTTCATATAAATATTTAGAATTATATACATAATACATAAATAGCTTAACATATATGTGTAATCAATATGATGATTGATACCGATTTTGTATGTTTTTCCATAAATTCCATGCAACTTGTTAGGGCTCTGGACCGTTCTTGCGGCACGGAATGCAATTTTCGACTAGTGCACCCAATGATCCCGATACACATGATGATTTCAAGCCCACAAATAAGCTTGAGAATTCTGGAATCCCTAAAGGATATCGTTGAGCAGGTTAGTGGTTAATGATATATGTATCCTGAACCTCTTTGTAGTAATATGTTCTGTTTTGAGATAATGACCATATCTGTTAATTGCAGTGTTTAGGATGTCAAGGATAACCATGTGATGATTTACATGAAAGGGGATCTAGAGCGACCACAGTGTGGATTCAGTGTTGAGTGAATATCGTAAGTACTCAAATCAGCACTTCTTGTTTGAAGATATTTTCAACGTAAGATTGTTATTTCTAACGATTTTTGTTTTATCAACTTAAAATGATTTTCCGATTAAAGTGATTTGCGTAGAATATAGATGGTCATCTGTCTCATGCTTGGTAGTCTACCTTACTTGTCATTGCCCGCCCTAGTGAATGGGCCGGCCTTGCCAACGGGCCTAAAAAGTGTTCTTAATTAACAAATGGTGGAACCAAAAAGTAAATGAAAATCACCGTTGCAATTAAAACTTTAAACAACTACTAACTACATCCATTGTTGATCGATTAGGATTTTTGACATAAGGATGCTAACAAAGATAATGTAGAGCATTTTGTGTTCTCAAAAGAAACCAAAGAGTCTCAACTCTCATCCTATAACTATAATAATTTAATTTTAAAATATACTAGTATAATTTTGATTAATGGTAAAAGATATTCATTATAAAACATAAACGGGCCGGGCAGACCTATCTATATTTGTTTTTTACATTGATCATGTCCGCACGTTAATTTTAACGAACAAGCCCGGGCCCGTCCATTTTCTCGACAATGGTTGTCCAAGCCCGTATTTCTAGCGGGCTGGATAGGCGAGTCTAACGGGTCGTCCCGTCCATGAACAACTCTAGTATAAAATGCATAAACGAGGTTGGCTATCATGCTAGTTTAAATATTTAATTCATATTTTTACTATGGTATACGGTATTTATCTCATTAAAAACTCTGAAATTTAAAAGTACAACTTAATACTGATACATAAAATTCCTTTGAAAAATTCATTTGAGCTTATTGATAAAAACGTTGAAATACAAAATAAACGTTGAGTCTTACCAATACAATAAAATAACCATATCAACCTTAAAACATATACAAATTAGCAATTCAAAACCATACAATACCATGAAAAGATCGAGAGCAATGGAGAACCAAACGAAGCACGAACAGGATCAAAGGTTCGAATTTCAAGTTCTCGACTTCAAAATCAAGATATGATTCAATTGAACTGAAATAGAAATGGAATTCGACTTTGATCGATATCAAATTCTTCAAAAGGATTGCTTACAACCTTAATCATAAGTCATTTTTTTCACAAATTTGACTGTCATTTTTACATCATGATCAGTAGGACAGTCCAGATTTTTTTGGAGGTCTTGTTACACCAGTACTAAACTTATAGATCGTTTGGAATGAGTAATAAATAAAATAAAATATAAAATTTCATATTATATTAAAAATCTTACAAATTAAAACAACAAAAAAGTTCAAAATGACAAAACGAAAAGAATATCAAAAGTCGTTTTTCTTTTAATCAGCAAATTTTGAAAGTAAATAGCCGTTTTTTATTTTGAAAGAAATTAAATAGGTCTTCGTTGAGGTGGATTCACAGGTTGGGCTACATAAATAGCCGTATGGATTTCACAAGAAATATTGGGCCCTAATAATTTCAGGAGTCTTTCAAAAACCAAGATTTAACATGCTAATAAATCGTCATGTTGCTCGCAATGTTTCCTGATTTGCACATATATCTATTATTGTTTGCCAAGAAATAAAGCAAAATAGCATAGCTTTCTTAGTTGCTGTTTTGGTTGGTTTTCCAATAAGTCTTTACTTCCTGTATGAATAAAGTTGAATTAATTTGTCAGTATAGATTGGAAAAGTTTTTGTTTGAATGGGGTTTTTATAGATGTAATTTAATTGGAAAGGACATGCCGGAAAAAACTTGGCTTTCTGCAAAAAGCTTCTAACCACTTTCTATATCAGTTACCACCAAACAATTCTATACCTAACCAAACAAGTTATGAGACTCATTAAGCTCGTTAAGCTGCTAACAGACATACCTTTACTTCTTCTGAAACATAAATCCATAAACTACCACAAGTTCTACATGCCAACAAGTAAATCAGGATTCAAATAAGCCAAAGAACATCCAAGTACCAAAATACTAGCACCATTTTTTTTCCGAAAGGTTCCGATCCTTATCATCATTGTACCCGACCCCCAGAATCCCCAAATAACGCGAAAGAAACCGACATAAAAACTATGCAAACGTACCAGCAACAGTAGGAGCAACGGCCGAGTTAAGGTAGGTTTGACCTAAGCTCATGAAAGTCAACCAACGTAGTTATCTGCTCCTGACGGTTATGCGAACTTGGACGGCCACGATGAGATTGCCGACGTTCTGCATTCGACCTCTGTCTGCGATGAGTATTTGTTCTGACTCTAGAGGTAGCGGGATTCTCCCTTGGCCTTGCCGACAACCTGTTCTGAGTTCGGGTAGTCCCTCTTGATCTACCAAATTCTGTATTCTCCGACTCATTTGGAGATGCAAAACTCAATAAATCATCCCAATCGTCCAAAATGCCACTACCGTCCCCTGAATCCCAATCCAATTCAGGGAAAACGCTTTCGAATTCTGATCCAAAGGTATTCAGGAAGTTCTGAAAATCCAAATCGTAATCCCAAATCGGGCTCGCGAGCTCATAAATGCCATCCATGAGTTCATCATCTATGCCATCCTCATCATCATCATCGAACTCGAATTGCATATTGAGCATATCTTGTTGCTCCATGTCTTCCTCCAAATTTCTCCATTCAAACTCTTGTGCAGGATCTATTTCCGTTGGTCGAACGAAAGGGTGTTCACGCCTAGCGTGCTTCCTTAATTCCGAATAGTTTCCGGCAAAATCACAGGTCCCCGATGAACAACTTCTTGTTTTGGAGTTCATAAAGTGGCGAGCAGGGTCGACTACAATCCACCCATTGATCTGGCCTCGACATAGAGGGCAAACAAGCTTAGTTCCTTCTTCTGAAGTAGTGTCGGCATTCATGGTTGACTTTCGGAACTGGTCAAGGCAGTTTGAGTGGCGGGAACTTGTGTCACACATGAATGGACGACATCCTTTCTCACGAGAAGAGCATAGCAAAAGGACGGCATTGTGAGGGTGTTCCATACATATAGGGCATCGAGCTTCTTCCCATTCATTTTCGTTTCCAACTGGCAGGGAGGGAGATTTAGGCCTCCCTTTATCGGCGTTCCTGCAACAACGTGAATATGGAGATACCCTACACCTATCGAAAGATGAAGATCTTCTATCCTTAGGCATCTTCACAGCTTGACAAGAGCTTGGTTATCACGAACACCTGCAAACCATGAGACGAAATATAAGAACTTGGAAGAATGCTAGAGAGCTAAAAAATATAATCCCAATTTTTAAAAACTAAACCAAACCAAATGAACCCATTAAATCCCACCCGGAAGTGGGGTCTACGCAAAGCGGACCTAGAAATTTATTTAAGTGGTGACACTATTTGACTATAAGAAACAAATGTATGGATATTTTTCACAAAATCATAATTGGTGTTAGTTCATTGCTTTTCATATGTGAGGTCTTTAGTTCGAGTCTTTTATTGAAATTTTTTCCAGAAACACAATAAATCTGAAATTTAAAGCTAAAAACTAAGAAAAATGACACAGGGATTAGAAGCCGGGATTGGGGTTGGAGAAAAGCCATGCAAACCGACTCTACCAAGGGAAACTTGTGTCGTCATTGTAGTTTCAATTTTCAAAATATATACGGTACACTACCCTATAATTTGTTACACTATGACAGAAGAACGAAGTGTTTGCCCGTGCCACCGTATCCAATAGACTAGAGTGTGTCCGCCCCTCGGTTTAGGGGAGGATAAGATGTAAGCTGGCCTAGAAAGTAGAGCGGCTTAATCCCAAATGATTCTTAACCGATAATTGTTCCCCCTATACCGTATAATGAGGCATTGTATGGTCAAAAAGTATTAGCATCGGTTTTTCTACAGAAGGAAGATCTCAAAACAAATTCATGTTCACAGGCTATAGATGGCCAGAATCGCCTATCTCAATCAGTCGAACAACATAATTCCAACTATAGGTATCGAGGCATGGAATTCAAGGTTCGAAATTGGGATGAAAGCTTACTAAATTGAAAATTTGAACCAATTTTACTCAAATTCCAATTAAAATCTACGAAAATAGAGTCGAAATACATACCCCTAGGGTTTCCTGGTCCAAAAATCCACTCAAATCATTCTAGAATCATATCACATAAACCTCTTTCTATAATCACATTTACAGATTCCAATATTCAAATCTTTAACATACAAATGCAAAACTCGATCATAGATCAACGGATCGTGTTGTAGATAATCCAAACATCAACATCAAAACCTAATTAATACCGAATGCGATAAAATTGAGCAATTAAACCGTTTGAAACACTAATCAACGACTTGATTGATGAGGTAAGAGGTAGAAATAAAACCTGATTCCCAATCGGAGAGGCGGTTTTCGTGATTCGGTGAAGATGCCTCTAGTTTTGTGCAGCCTCGTGGACTCCTTACAGTGCGTAGGCGACATGAATGAACTATATTTGTTTAGGAAGAAGGGTGTTCGGTGCGAATTTACAGAAATAGCCGTACGGAAAAGCATGCCGCCACGTCAGCCACGCCTTTTAGAGGTGGTCAACATTGTCAATTGGCATTTGGGCCGTTTGGGTTTCAAAATTTACGGCTCAAATACGTTTTAAAAGTATTGGGTCGGGTTTTGTTTAGAGTTTTCAAACGGGTCTCGGTTTGATACTTAAGTTGGGTCTGGTTTTAACCCGGTTAGGTTAAAGGATTGTTTGGTTGGTTTTCATTAGATCCTATATAAATAAACTAAGGGGCCGTTTACCTAGATGCTTACTCGGTAGGTGTTTACTATTATGAGTCAACACTATAATTTATTTTACCGGGTAAAATTGTAGTACATCAAAATGGTATTGTATTTAACAATTTATCCGGGTAAGAGTCGTTACCCTCACTTACCGAGTAAGACTCTTCATCTTTATAATTGCTCTTAACATGTGAGATTTTTTATTCTTACCATGTTCATTTGGTAAGGAAAATTACTCAGGTAAGCGTTTAGTAAATGGGCCCTTAGAAACATTTTATTATACGTTTATATAGATTATGAAACTTTGTGTTGTCAGTTTCTACGTACGATATTTAAACAGAAGCAACATGAATTGCTTTGACGTTGTGATTTTTTGTTGTTTGAATCTAAACCGCATTGCAAACATCCCTAATACATCTACAAAAATCATAATTAGGGGTTGTTGGCAGTTGCTGAATAGTTTGGTACATAATGATTAAGTGGTTAGAATGATTAAGAGACTCTCATGATATAGTGCAAAATAAAAAATAATTGTTTGGTAAGTATTTAAAATGAAATTAGGGCGCTGAATGGTTAAGAGAGGCTCGGGATACAAAATCACTCTGAGGGTTTTAGAACCATTAAGAGGCAGATTTTTTTGCCAAACAAGATTCACCTTTTAAAAATTCAGAGGTTGTCTTTTAATGGAACTATTAAGAGGTAAACAAACAACCCCTAAGATTTTTAATATTTTTTTTAATTTAAAATTTTATTATAATTTAATTCATGTTTAATAATGAAGTTGTTTATTTTTGGTTTAATAATATAATTTTTTAGAAAGATAATAATTAAATATTTTGTAAGAAGTCAAATTTGTATCATAATTACATTTTAGAGTTTTTATATTTAAAATGAGATATTTATCTTGTATTTGATTATATTTATCTATAGTTAGTTAGACGAATTAAAAAATAAAGCTTTAATAAGTTGTACTTATGTACAATTTACTTGTAGTCTTGAATTTTAAATAATATACATTAATAAACAATATTTCAAGCATAAAAAATAATTTTTAAATTTTTTTGTCAAATATTTTATAATATAAGTATAAATATGTTCGAAATCTACATTTTTAGTTACAAAACCTCCCACTGAAAATACATATAAAATGGATTTTGTTGCAGTTAATCTTAAATAAATTTATTAGGTAAAACTTCAAAAAAAATCCTAACCAACTTTTCCATTTTAAATGGTTTAGTCCTTAATTTTTTTTAATGAAAAAATCATTAAATTTTCTCAATTTGAATAATTAAGTACTTGAATTGTTTTTTTACATGAAAAAACCATTAAATTTTCTTATTTTAAATGATTAAGTCTCTAAACATTTTTTTAATGAATAAACCATCGAACTTTTCAAATTAGTCACTTATATATCCTTTTAACCATGGATGGACCTACAGTAATGCCAATGGTGACACATGCCATCTATCATTTTCTCCGTCGAATGATAAAAAAAATTAGGTTCGTGAAAGGTACAACCGTATTAATTTGTTGTTGTGCCACCGTATGTATTTTGAAACTACAATGAGAATAAATTTTCTTTGGTGGAGTTGGTTTGCAAAGCTTTTATTCCACCCCAGATCCGAGTTCAAATCTTGGTGCTGTCATTTTCTTAGCTAAAAGGTGTCACCGTTTGATTTTTTTTTTTTCTATATTTGTTTCTTATAGTCAAATGGTATCATCATTTAGAATTGTTTCCCTATATTTGTTTCTTATAGCCAAATGGCACCACCGTTTGAAAAAAGAATTGGGTTCGTCGCTACTTTTATGCCATTTTTTTAATGTAGACGACTAGCAATGTTTTAAAGTTAGAAAAAACATAAATCAATTTTAACATTCCCAAAACCTACGCTATTCAAATCTTTCTCACACAATGACATCACTTTCCCTCACTACTCCTCGTCGCCCCATCGTTGTCTGTTTTTTATACCGTCCATTGTCGCTGTTGGCCGCTGCCATCAATCTTCATCTTTTTGACCACTTCTTTTTTCTTTTGATTCTATCAAAATATGAAAATGAAAAAGAGTGAGACCAATAGCAAAAGCCAATAGTGGGGATGGACGATGATAGAGAGCGAATGAGAATGAGGCGATGCAGGGTTTCAATGATGTATGATTGAGAACGATAAAACCAATTTAAGTTTTTTTTTTTACATTAGAATCTTCATAGCTGATTTTAGGTAGTTTTTTTGGGTTAAAAGAATGCAGATAACAAATTTTTAAAAACCTGGTGATTTATTTATTCAAAAAGAGTCCAAAACCCTAATCATTTAAAATGTGAAAGTTTAATGATTTTTTTATTTAAAGAAAAATTAAGAGACTAAACCATTTAAAATAAGAAATTTATTATTCTAATAAAGAAGCAAAGCAGCACATGGGAGCAAATAGGTGGTGATTTGCCCCGATCCGATGGAGAACCCAGCTCACTCGATCCAAACGAGGATGGGGATTTTCCGCTAAAACGGGTCCCAGGACCGGGTGGAGATCCCCAATAGACTCAAACCAGGGTTGGGGCCAGGGCTGGATAGCGTATCCCCCGACTCGCCCTGTACCTGGTATATAATTCTATTAATATATTTTATATAATATGTATATATATCATTTATTTTCTAAAATTAGGTCTTAGACCGGGTTTAATCGAATTTGACTAGGGTTTGAATAAAAATAAACCGAGAACGGGATATTAATCCTTATACCCGCTAAGAACCGAAACCGAAACCGAAACCGTTCATAGAAACTGGGACCAAGATCAGGGACTAGAAAACTAGTCCCATCCCCCTCCCCACCCCAATGCCTGCACGCATGTGGTAATCCTAACCTCAGCACAAAGCAATTGGAGAAGCCACATATGCCCTACACGCGTCATCCAACAACGACACTTGTCGCCTTCTTAGTCCTCATGCATTCGTATTTAAGACCACCTGAGACGTCGAAGCTAAAGCTAGCCTTCTGATATCAAAATATCTCAATCAAAGAAACTAAAATGGCATCGCAGGATCAGCGTTACAGAGCCGGTGAAGTGAAAGGCCAAGCTGAAGACAAGACCAAAGACCATTTGACTAGCAACCACTTGCCGGAGATGGGCCAGTCGACGACGGCCGGAAAAAAGAAGACCGGCGGTGGAGGGGTGATGCAGAGGACGGGAGACCAAGTGAAGAGCATGGCTCAAGGTGCTGCAGAAAAGGTGAAGCAATCGTTTGGAATGGCGGAGGAGGAGGAGGAGGAGGCGGTGGTCGGCGGTAAGACAGGTGGCGCCCCCACCGGGAGGACAACTACTAGGAAGACCACTTACTGATGATGTTATTGATGATCTTGGTTTCATTTAAAGTGGTTTGTTTTGATTAATTTTAATTATATGTTTTAATTAAGGTTGGTTTTATGAGTTAGGGTTGTTTGTTTACCTCTTAATAGTTTTATTAAAATGCATCCTCTGAATTATTCTCCTTTAACTATTAAATGCTCTAATTTCATCGTAAAAGATTACCAAATAATTATATTTCATTTTGCATTATATCACGAGAGTCTCTTAATCATCCCAATCACTTAAACATTCTGCATCAAACCATTCCACAATTGTCAAACAAACCCATATATATAAAGAGAGATGAAAAACTAACACCCAACCCTGTTATTTTATTTCGTACTTTAATGCTACATGTTAATAGATGATTGATCAAGTAAGAAATCATGTATGATTTTACACTTTTGTGCTGGGAATTACAGAACATGGTCAACGTTATGGGTGCGGCTTGGCTTGCGATCCATGATAAAGTTGCGTGAATTACTGTGAAAACTGTCTGAATTATATGTGATTATACTAGCATCTCGTCCTTATGATGAAATTGAAATGAGGGTTTTAGGTACGGATATGACGGGTTCAATAGGGTTGTCACGTCCAGGGACGGATCCAGAAATTTTTTCAAACGGTGGCACTATTTGACTATAAGAGAAAAATATAAGGGAAAAATTTTAAATGGTGGCACTGTTTAACTATAAGAAACAAATATACGGAATTTTTTTTCAAACGGTGGCATCATTTGACTAAGAAAACGACACTAACAGAATTCGAACTTGGGTCTGGGATGGAATAAAAACTTTGTAAACCAATTCTATCAAATAAAACTTGTTTTCATTGTATTTATAAAATACTGACACAAACAAATTAATATGGTTGCACATTTCACAAACCTAAATTTTTTTACCCTTTGACGGATGAATAACACGGTGGCATGTGCCACCATTACCGCTATACTAGGTATGTCCTTGGTCACGCCTAATTAATGGTATGCATTAAAGGGTGGCATTGATCGGTGAGTGTGTCGTGGTGGCACTGATTAGTGTGTGCCTTCGGTGACACTGACTAATGAAAGGTGAAAGTCGTTGATCGATCATTGGCATGTCAGCATCTACCAATGTACTTGATTGTTGTGTAACAACCTTTTGCACTTAGTCGAGAATCGCTAATAACATTAAAGGAGTTTCAAGTTTTACATACGAAAAGTACAAAGAATCAAATGTTCTATATTCTCGTTATTCTACGTAATAATACGATACACCGTGTAAATTTGGATTATACTCGGGAGTAATTTGGCGATACATACTTGAGACAAAGTAATATGTATACAATTCAAGTTTTATCCGTAGACATACCCTGATGTTCAATTCAATTTGTATCTCATTAAAAGTGAATTCTAGAAAATTTATTGCAGATGCTTTTGACATTTGATTCAATTTGTATCTCATTAAAAGTGAATTCTAGAAAATTTATTGCAGATGCTTTTGACATTTGTGACGAACTCCGAGCATCAGTTGGAGATGCTTTTAATATTTGTGAGAAAATCTGTCACAAACATCAATCATTTTAGGCCACAATTTTGAATAATTAAATCTCTAACAAATTTTCTAAAACGGAAGAAAATAGAAATTTCGTTCTTTATTTTTTTCCCAACAGAATTACTATATTGTTCTTTAATTTAGATTTTTTTTTAAATTGAATGTGAAAAGAATGTATATTTAAAAAAGTAAAACTATATTAGGATGATAAATTATAGATTATTTTAATAATATAAAAAATATTAAAATCTTTGAAATAAACAATGTGTTAAAGTTAGAGTATATTTTTTAAGTAAATTGCATGAAAAAAATAATGTATTTTAACTTGATTCTTATTTTAGGTAACGTATTTTCAAAACTTTTATTTTGGTACCTAAGATGTAAAGTTTTAAATATTTAATTACCTGGGTAATCGGTTGAATCATTAATCGATTATCATGCTGAAGTAGTAAATGATGTGATATCCAACTCAGTGTAAAATTATATTGAATTTTAAATTCAAAAGGTTAGTCAAATCATTTGTCACGTCATCATGGTAATCGGTTAATGCTTCAACCGGTTACTCAGATACTTAAATGTTTAAAACTTTACATCTTAAGTACCAAAATGAAAGTTTCAAAAGTACGTTACCCAAAATAGGAATCTAAGGTGTGTTAAAGTTGAGTGTAATTTTTTGGGCAAATTATATGAAAAAGTAACGTACTTCAATTTGATTCCTATTTTGGGTAATGTACTTTCAAAACTTCTATTTTAATACCTAAGATGTAAAGTTTTAAACCTTTAAGTATCCGGGTAATTAGTTGAAACATTGACCGGTTATTATGCTGAAGTGACAAATGATGTGATATCCAACTCAATACAAAATTTTGTTGAATTTTAAATTCAAAAGATAAGTGAAATCATTCGTCACGTCATCATGGTAACCGGTTAACTTAACCATTTACCCGGGTACTTAAATTTTCAAAACCTTACATTTTAGGTAGAAAAAATGAAAGTTTTAAAAATACATTACCCAAAATATGAATCAAATTAAAGTACGTTATTTTTCCATACAATTTACTCTAATTCTTTTAAAGATTTTAACTTATGGTTCTTTACTCTAAAAGAATTATAAAGAATAATATATTATAAATAAATAAAAATAATAGCCAAAAAAAAAGTAATTAACCCATAAATATTAAAAACACTTATCAATCTCACAAATTTTGACCAAGTTTAAGACCATAAAAGACACACATCCATCAAATTAGCCTCATCCAACCATTTACAATGCCATATGTTACCAAATCCACACATTCTCATCTCTTATAAACCAACCATCTACCCTTCCCCAACCTATAAATACACATTTTCTTATCTCATATCAAACTTCACCCCTTTTTTAATCTTTATGTTTATATTTCAATTAATCAGATAAATTAATTAAGAATGGCGGGCGAAAACCGACAAGCTTTGCTCGACTACGATGATTCATCACAGGGTCAGGTAATCTAAACAACATCTTTTATGTAGACGTTGATTTATAACGTGTGTTGGAATCAGAAGGAGCAATTACGACCTACTTACCTGAAACATTGGTCAATTTAGGTTATATTTTGTTGTTTTTTTATTAACCTGGATATCTAATCCGTTATGCGAGCCGACTAATCCCAGGACGACCACGGGTAGCACAGAGTCACCGCATTTTGAATCTTCGTGGCCACAAGGGGATTTTTGTTCCTCATTGGATTTTGATCTTTGGAGCCCAACCTCAAACCAATCAGGCACCATCCTTGTGGTTGAGTTATATTTTATTGTTGATGCCACTACGAGAAAACAGAGTATCAACCATGGAAACACGCAAAGACAAATGGATAGACTTAAAAAATTTAACTAGAAAGGAAACTGGTCAAAACTCTCTCAAAGATCATACTTAGGGGATGTTTGGGATTGCTTATAAAAACTTATTGACTTATCTCAGTGTGACACTGGTAATAAGCATTTTTGAGTGTTTGGATAAACAACTTCAAACGATGCCGAACCGGTAATAAGCAATTTTTGAAGAAGTTAAACCATTCAAACTTATAATAAGTTGATAAACACTTTTGTAGAAAAACATAAGTTGTTTCAAATAAACAAATCCCAAACACCCCCTCAATCGTATACAACGGAGGTTGAAATGAGGGGGGGGGGGCGTTGCCCCCGGTCAAATCCAAAGAAATTTGCTTATACATGTAATCCCAACTATCAAGAGCCAAGTTTTAATTGAAATAGTAAAGAAAAACCAAATATGGTATGTTTGTTGGCTAAACGAATTGTTTAACCCGAAATCGAATAACCCGAATCTCATTCGATTTGGAGGGACGAATTTTTCGGACACTCCAAACGTGTCACCGTCACCCATATTTCTTGATCGGACATTGCTTTTTAGTGTTTCCATTTGATCCCTCTCCCGATTAGTTATAAAAAAAATGTTGTTAGGTCAACCTAATCACCTGGTCCAATACTCAATTACGTCATGAAAATTAGAGTTGTCAAAAGGAACTGAGCGTTCAACAAACTGTTCGACGGGGAGTTCGTTTATATTCGAACATGAACCCAGATTTTGTTCGTTTAGTTAAATAAACAAACATGAACAATAGTCTCGTTCGTTCATTTATATTTGTTTATATATTTATTTATTTATCATGACATTAATATGTTAAATCATTAAATTTGTAGAGTTCTCCTATTTATCCGTTTTTTCATTTTGTTACGCTATCTTTTAGGAACGAAATGATGAGTAATGGACTAATGGTGGTTGTTTTTAGTTCATTTATTTTCGTTCGTTTAACATCTTAACAAACGAACACGATCAAACACACCAAAGGGACTTTGGCCTAGCGGTATGTGAGTCATACGCCTCCTAGAGGTCAGAGGTTCAAACTTCACCAAAAGTGAGGAAAATGTATGATTTTATTTGTTCTATTTATTGTATATAAATATTATATACTTCAAAAAGAACACAAATCAAACACATTTACTTGACGCATAAACATGAACAAAAAAAAATTCCATTCAATTTACTGTTTGTGTTGTTCGTTCATTCGGTTAAGTTAAACGAACAAACAAGTTTGTATTCGTTTACTACCCCAATTAAGATCCATGATTGTAAGTGTTCTGAGTTACGAATTTTCAGCCTCCAATTTACATTCTTATTCATCTTCTCGATTCATCCGATAACAGTTACGCAGAGAAGAAGTTGGCGAAGGCGAATCCCAAGATTCCAGTCTCTTAAATCAGGTAGTTTCAAAATGAGTTATGTTTTAAGACCACAAACACTTCTCTTTAGTATCAATCGATTCGTGTTAATTTGCATAATTATAACGATTAATTTGTGACAAAAATGCTTAGAAAGCTAGATCCAGAAATAAAAAACTTACTGTAAATGTAGAAGAGTCATGATTCGATGAAGACGATGACGACATATGGAGCAGCGGACGTAGCCAGAGGTGCGATGGGACTAGCACAAGGTGCAGCCAACCTTGCACAAGGTGCAGCAACAGCTATGAAGAATACTTTTGGAAATAACTCACAGAATCACAATCTTCACACGCCACTTCCGACCGCAAATCCGCAAAATTGAACCCTAGATAATGATTGTATACTGATAGAATCTCTCTGATTTTACTTTGATCCATTTGATTTCTGGATAAATATGATGTTCACGTAGGATCAGGGAAGATCTGCTGCTTGTTTTCGATGGTGTATTGTGGTTGATTGGTGTTAGATTCCGTTGGAAGGGAAAGTGTTCAAGGAAAATGATTTCGTTTTTGGAAAAATGACTCAAAAAGGAGAAGTTTATCCAAACAATTATCCGGTAATCGTTTATTAACAACAGTCTAATGTTATAATTTACTTTAGCGGGTAAGATTGTTATCAATCAAAAACCCGTATATAATGCAACAATTTACCAGATAAGCGATTATCGGTAGGCATGGCAACGGGGCGGAATGGGACGAGTTTTCTAATCCCTGGTTCCGGCAGCTACGGGATTAATATCCCGTCCCCGGTTTTTTTTCTAGTCAACCCCGTCAAATGCCGATTCTCATCTCCGGTTAAGACCTAATTTTATAAAATAAATAAATAATATATATATACACAGGGGCACGTTCAAATGAAAACCGTGTAAACCGACTTCGACCAATAGAAAATTTCCATTTTTTTCTAATTAAATTTAATTAATAAGGGTATTTCGGTCATTAACAATACTTTCTATTAAATATAGAAGTTATTAATAAATCTTAATTAAGAAAACGTAACAAAGGAAATTGTATAAATGGTAACACTTAAATATTTAATTATATTATAATATTAAAAGTTTGAATTTGATATATTGTTATGAGATTGAATCTGCAAACGGGTCTTGAAGATTGAATTGCATTATGGAATGAAATCGTAAATTATGGTTCAAATTAAAAAAATAATGTTAATGAAACAGGTTTCATGAATGTGAAACTGGTTCATGTTGTAATTGATTCATGAGTAATATGTAATCGTTTCATGGTGAACCACGTTTCAGTGATGGCGTAGTTGATCCGTTTAGTAGAAAAAATGGAACATGAAACGGGTGCATAATTTATTTGGTTCGTCATGAAATAATTGCATGATGAAACGGGTACATGATGAATCTGCTTCGGGATCTTGAAGATTGTAATCTGCTCCAAAATTTTGAAGATTGTAAGGAGTAAAGAAAGAATGCATCAAATCATGAGTGAAATAAAAAAAATTAATTTACATGAAACATGTTTCATGAAGGTGAAACTGGTTCATGACGTAATTGAACAATGAGTAGTGAACTGCTTTCATGGTGAAATTCGTTTCAGTGATGGTGTAGGTGATCCATTCAATAGATGAAATGAAAAATGAAACGGGTGCATAATGTAGGCGGTTCGTCTTGAAATAATTGCAAGATGAAAAATAAATTAGTTTCATTAATAATAATAAATGTTAACGTAAAAATAATAAATTACTTTACAAAATATAGATTAGTTTCATTAGTAATATGATATATATGATATGGTTTCCTTGAATAAATAAATATTTGGTTTTACCCTTTTGCCCTTATCGGTATTATAAAATGTATTTTCAATTTTTTTTAATTTCCTTAAATAACATTGATTAATCTTAACCATTGACCAATAAAATGGATGGGTGAGATTGGTTTACATGGTTTACACAAATAGAAGCGGTTTTTATTTGATCGCTCATCTATATACACATATATTATATATAAAATATATTAATAAAATTATATACCGAATAAGGACGGGTTGGGAGATACGCTACCCGACCCATCCCCAACCCCGATTTGAGTATACCGGAGATCCCCGGCCCTGGTCCCGGGACCCGTTTTAGCGGGGAATCCCCATTCAGGTCGAGTGAGTCGGGTTCTCCACGAATCGGGGTAAATCACCATCGTTAATTATCGGATAAGAGTCGTTACCTTCACTTACCGGGTAAAACTCTCCATCTTTATCCCCGTTCTTACCAGGTAAGATTTTGGATCCGTAAAATAGTCAGTTTCTCCGGTATGGTAAATGATCCACTAAGCACTTATCGGGTAAACGTTGGCCCCTAAAATAGTAAATTTCTCCGTCCAAGTTTACTTTTTAGCTACATTTTCAAGCTAATTTCCAACCTAGTCATTCTTTATGCAAATGTTTTATGCATTTACATTACGTTTTTTTGATAAAAAAAAAAGAAAAATGGGCATTTATGGAAAAAGTATGCATTTGCATAAAGAATTGTTAGTTTGAAAATTGACTTCGAAAATGTGGCTAAGAAGTGAACACTTGAAGTGAGGTGGAGAGATAGACTATTCAAGTCAATTTCCCTTTCGTTTTTTGTATCTTTTGGGCACAATATCTGTGACGGATTTGCGATGGCCAGAACTTGAGTTGGAACTGTATCGCAAAAAATTTCAATTGCTGTATTTTAAATATATGAGTATTCTGTTCATACCCACTCTAAGGTTAATTTCAAGTTCGAAAAGTAAAAAATTGGTTTCGTTCTAGTTTTGAACTAGATTTGTTGAAATTGAGAATCGATTTTTGGAAGAAAAAGAAAAGCTTAAATAGATAATCAAATCGATATACGTAATTCAAGTTCAGTTTTGGGTTTTGTCGGTTCAAACTAAGGGGTTGTTTATCAACCCCAACTGGATAAGCATTTATCGGGTAAGAGATCCTCACTTACTTTACTGGGTATTTTCGGCTATCAAAATGACATAATAAGATTGTTGGTAAATATTGTCTTACCCAGTAAGCGCTAATTGTGTGTGTGTCACTGCCCTCACTGGTCGTTTAAGATTTTTGGTTCTTATCATGCCTCTTACATGGTTATTCCCAGAATCTGGAATATGCTTTCTTTGGTGCTCCAGAGATCATAATCTTTCGCAGTCTGGAAGCAGTTCACTGAAAGTTGTTTTAACACCGGAATCCTATATTGCATTTTATCTGTAAATATTTATTAGTAACGTTTTGATGACTTTAAGAACTGTATCCAAACTATAACGTTCTACTATTTTATTTATAGTCGTTTACAAATGATGTCTTGATGATACTTAATGATTTTTATGACATTTTAATTTGTTGTTCTAAGTAGTTTTTGTCAATTATAAATATCATTCAGTTTAATTTGTCAAACAGTGTTCATTCATATTGAGGGGTTAATCGGTTATATATAGTTAGAGATTCCTGTAAACAATGGTAGATCCAGGAAAGTATATGATCATATGAGATTGGGAGGAAACCATGTAAGACGAAGGTAAAAATAAAAATTTAAGCTAATCAACAAACTTTTTTGATCTTTGACTGGGGGCCTTTCCCCCAGTATTTAAGGACTAGATCCGCCCCTACCCCAGTAAAAAATGCCATTTCTTATGAAAAATATAATCTTCACATAACATTACATATTCTTAAAACAACATGGTCTGTATTGATTCGAGGATTACCAGTTATAAGTCATTTTCCACAAAACTATGGCTCAAAATTTAAATCCATATTTGATAGTTCTTTCCATCACACATTTCTATTATCAATTCATATATACTTTCATTATTAACTTGTAAATTTTCATCCGGTCAAATTTCATGAAAAAGTAACGTATTTTAATTTGATTCATATTTTGGGTAACGTACTTTCAAAACTTTGATTTCGGTACCTAAGATATAAAGTTTTAAAATTTAAGTACCCGAGTAACCGGTTGAAGCATTAACCGGTTATCATTCTGATGTAGCGAGTGATTTGACTTACCTTTTGAATTTAAAATTCAATAAAATTTTATACTTAGTTGGATACTACATCAGCATGGTAACCGGTTAGTGCTTCAACCGGTTACCCGGTACTTAAATGTTTAAAATTTTACATCTTAGGTACCAAAATAAAAGTTTTGAAAGTACGTTACCCAAAATATAAATCAAGTTAAAATACATTACTTTTTCATGTAATTTGTCCTTTTCATAACAACTACCAATTTAAAATTCATAAAAAGAAAAACAAGTTTTAAGAATACAGTATAACATAGTATACATAGCATCATATGCATACCAAAGTTATGGTTGACAAATTAATTGTTAACTGATAAACCAGTCATGTTTAGTAAAAGAATCTTAATTAAGAACATCTTAAATACGCTCCTTATATTAGCTAACTACCGTAAGAAGTCAAATATGAAAAAGAAAACCACTTCAATACACTTCCAACATTAATTTCATTATCTTACTATCTACGCGTAAGGAACCTCCCACATAAAATCTACATTAAAAAAATATTTAAGATGTAAAGTTTTAAACATTTAAGTATCCGGGTAATCGGTTGAAGCATCAACTATTTCTTCTAATAAACCACAATACATAAAAACTAATTTTAGATTAAGATATTCATGTCTAACAAATAATATTAAGTTGGATACCACATAACTCGCTACATCAGCATGTAACCGGTTAATGCTTCAACCGGGTGCTTAAATGTTTAAAACTTTACATCTTAGGCACCAAAATGAAAGTTTTGAAAGCACGTTACCCAAAATAGGAATCAAGCTAAATTACGTTACTTTTTCATACAATTATTTTGATTACATATGTTTCGGTAAACCAAATAAAATAACTTAAAAATAAACCAATCAAAAGATTTGTAGCGACTCTTTGATGTAGAAATGGGAAGGACTTTAACAGTAGCAAGCAATGGCAGCCCCTATTGATTCACATTTGAAAACAAGATGTTTTTGCCCTAACCCTTGATCAAAAAAAATATACATGCGTAAACTCGATCGATCGCCATTTACAATCCAATCACTACGACCTAATCAAACACGAGGATGATTCCGATATCATACAATTCCAACACCAAAAGCCGATGCATATTGAAAAAAACAACTAAGAACCCCTTCTGCTACGACTACTAGAACCGGAAACCGATCTCTCAAAAGGACTGTATACATCCTTCCCACCTCCTCTTTGTGCAACACTTCGAGGAGAAGAACTTGAATCGATCCCCGTCCCTTTTGTGCTTTCTTTTTCGAGGATTTTCGCTTCACTTGCAAGTATACGCAGCTGATTCACACACAAAAAAAATGTCACTTTTGAGCTAAATAATTCTCAAGCTCGAGTCAATCTCGAACACAAAATAAAACTCGTTTAACTTAACGAGTCAAGCTTCATAAAACCAATTTTCAACTCGGCTCATTCGAAAGCTCGGATAAATTTCTCGAGTCGAGCCAACCAAGCGATTTGAGCATATATTTTTTCGAGCCAAGCATACTTGTATGTTCATAAATAATGCAATAAAAATATAAAAATTATGAACCTCGAGTCAATAAACGAGTTAATTGATAGTGAGAGTATGAGCCCATAGAGCTCGATAACTCAAAAGATTCAAGCTCGAACCCTACATTGCAGCAGTTATTCGACTTCGAATCAAGCTCAAGCGTAGTATAATTTTTCCCAGCCGAGCTCGAATAACCTACTACTCGACTTTGCTCGTTTACTTCCCTACTGGACCCCATCTATATACTAGACTTGTTTGGTTTGGTCACAAGAAAATATGGTTAATTTGCAATGAAAACCAAGGGGCCATTTACCAAACACTTACCGGGTAACCGCTTATCCACAAGAGCCTTGCCCTCATTTACCTTGTTGGATAACATTCTCGGCTATCAAAATGGATTGTTGGTAAGCAACTTTTATCCGGTAAGCGCTTACCGAGTAAGAGTCTTCTCTCGGTCCTTGCTATGCCTCTTACCAGATAAGATTCTAGGTCCTTCCTATGCCTCTTACCGCGTAAGATTCTAGGTCCTTGTCATGCTCACTCGGAAAAGTGACACCCTGTAAGCGCTTACCCACTAAGCGTTTGCTAACCGTCTCCTAAGTGGTCGTTTACTGACACAAATTGGGCAGTATGATTGCAGTTTGGGTAAGAGGTCCTCTCTAGGTAAGTGTTGACTGAAAATAGTCGATCATCAAATGTCGGGGTAAGCACCGACCGAGTCAGAAAGCAACCCCTTCCTCACTGGGTGTGAGTCAGGGTGTGTTGGTAAACATCTCTTCTTATCGGGTACACACTCTTACCCAGTAAGAGGTGGTTAGTGTTAGGAAGTAGTAAACAGCCCCTAATTTTAATTTTACCCGAAATATGATTATGCTATAAAAGCTAAACATGAAATATAATGCTTTCATACCCGAATCTCATTTTCTGATATACGGTCCTGAAGAGAATTTATGGCTGGACTTAAGCTGCAAATCACGGTTTGATGTCAATTGCTGGGAAGATAAATCTAACCATTTTTATATGTAATAAAATAGAGGAAGGTAATAGTAGTAATTTCTAACCAATATTCCATTAATTTGCAGATAGAAGCTTGATAGGTTGAAGTATGATGAATGAAAGAAAGCGGATGGACTTTCCCGTCTCTACATCAAATAAAGTAGTCTGTATTGAATAGAATAACCCATGGCAATAAGTTAAGCATAATGTGATAAAAGTATCAAATGCACCTCATATTTTGTATGATTGCTTGATGGTATGCCGTCCGCTCCTCCTCATACAACACGGATTGTAGATCAGAGAATGATGTCAAAGGTGATTCGAGATTGAGAAGAGATAAAGTCGGCATAACATGAAGAGGGACTTCTTTCCTGATGTATTCTGCACCGCTGCCAGAAACAAAAGTCCGTTTTGTGTCATGCACATGAAACACAAACACGTCAAGAATGAAGCAAGATAAAAAACCCTGGCGATTCCACTTTCTTTGTAGTTTACTGAGGGCCCGTTTGGTTTGCAGGACTTGGTGGGATATAGAATTCCATTCCAACCACGTGTTTGGTTTAAAGGAAAGTCCATAATTGAAATCCCACAAACATGGGATTTAGAAATCTCATGAAGGCAGTCGGTATTTTGAGGGATTTCATAGGATTTTTTTGTAATAATGTTTTAAATTATGTTAAAAGCACTTGTTTGTAATAATCAATTAATTAAAAGGTAATTTAATTATTTTTATAAGTTTTTATAATTTGTAACATGATGTAATTTCATTCCCTTCCTAATCCTACAAACTAAACACACCCAAGATTGGTGGATGGGATTAAGACAGGACTGGGCGGAGATAGAGAGATATGCAGGTGAAAGAATTGTGGAAGGTTTTAGAGTTTTAACTTAACATGGGTAGTTTAGTAATTTACCAATCTTATCCATCTTCCTGATTTTTGTTCCACCTAATTTGGTGGGAAAAAAATGTATTTTTGTCCCACTCGATCATGTCATGTCCCAGTCAAATGCCGTGCCAAACGTGGGACAAGTTTTTGTTGTCCTGTCCCACATACCAAACCCACCCTAAGGGAATGGCTTGCTTCCGCATTAATTTTCATAATGGGAAAGATAAGCAGGATCAGGGTCATGAAGCTTTGATGCTAATTATACACCTTAATACATATCTTTTTGGTTGGTTTTCCATTAAGAGTGTATGGATAAAGCTGTCTCTGTGGATTAATCTATCTGTGTAGATCTAGAAGATTTTTGTTTGGGAGGGTTTTTTCATAGATGGAAGGAGCGTGTTTTTAATTGGAAGGGGTAGGTTTGGGAAAAACTTGTCATTCTGCATAACCCCCCCCCCCTAGAAGCTTACTGATAAACCACCATCTATATCATTAAGCCACTACCATACAGTCATGTATAGTAGATTGAATAAGTTGCGAGTCCTATTAAGTTCATTAAGCTGCTAACAAACAGGCGCTAAACGGGGTTAGTATCATGGTGATTCATTACCACTATTATTATTATAACAAAGTTCGAAAGGCAGAAGACGATAATCTTTCATTCTTTGAGAGATATACAAGCAAGGACTATATTGTGAGCTTATCTTGTGCAAGTTATATAAATGACCACCTAACTAAAAAGGCCACATGTTTGTAATATTTGAGCAAAAAGGTTGATAACTGGCAACTCCGACCGGCCCCACACGGAACTCGCCCCTAGGAACCACATGTAAGGAGGCATTTCAGAGCTGACTCGGCAGCTGAGACAAGAGGATGGGTCCAAGCCCGTCTCACGCAAGATTTGAGCTTTAACCCGGTTGAGCAAAGTCGCTCCAACCCTTCACCAACTGAGCTACAGGCCCGAGGGCCACATGTTTGCAATATTAGTTCCAGCTACCCTGGAAGCAGAAGATTCTATGCAAGCCCAGGAATCGAGCAAGACCCGAAACTCAAGTGGCATAAACACAACCAATTAAATTTAAATCACAGTTTCATGCAGGCATATAATTCAGTCATGATCACTTGGCAAACATAATAAACAAGTTAGAAACAAAGAGGTAAGCCTCCCTTCATTCATTTTAAACCGAAAAACCATTATGAGTGGGCCTAACAAATATAATTGTCATTATGATAACTAATTGGCAGACACTAACATGATTAAGCCGAATGCCAATAGTAGCGCTCTGGGTCGTGGGCAAAATAATGACATTTTACTGAATTTGGAATAAAATTACAGGTTTAGCATAGAAGGAAATAGTTTGAAAGAAGTACGAATATATACATACATATATGCCGATCAGAGAAGTAAGCATATGCGTACCTCATTTCCATATTTGAACGGTGCATTGCCTCTTGCATACTGTCAGACATATCCATGGGGTCAATATCAACTACTGCACTGTCCATGTTACCAGTAGGGTAGTTCCCTCCTACTCTTCCGGTATAGTTGGTATCAGCATTTGCAAAGAAACCTTTCAAGGCAGATGATTTTCCTCCGCCCTGACCAATCAAAGTCAGAAGCATAATGAAAATGAAAGCAGAGGACCAATGTGGAAGTTCTGTATCAGAAGGACTGAAGCAAAGATTCACCAATAATTTGACCAATATATAATTCCAGTTCAGTATATTGACTATAGTGACTTACAACAAGCCTAACAAACTCAAAAGCACAACTAGGTGGATTCAATATGATATAAAATGTGTGATCTATGCCATCAATGGTCACAACAGATGAATGATCACCAGCAGCACTAGATTTGTGAACTCCATATGCTACCATCTCATGTAGAGTGGAAGCAATTTTCCCCATCTGAAAGTAGGTAAGATTTACAGACAGACCTAACGCCAATTTTGTCTTATGGGCAATGGTTATGAACATCATCTATGATCAGAACATGTTGCAGATATGTGTAATGGCATTTCTTTTCACACTACCATTAGTTTTTCAGAAGAGAAGGTTGACTGAAACAGGAGCCCATTCCTCATTACACATAAATGGGAAAATAAGCAATTGGGTTCAAAGGGAGCATTCAAACATGACGCCACATAAGGAAGCAAATGAATAAAGTTATACAGCAAACTTTTGGGTTGAAGTCTAGAAGTAAGGCTAGAGAGATTGTTGCCTATAATTTAATCCCTAGTTTTTTGTACAGAACACTAAAGCACAAATAGCATTGCAACTAACAAGTGAAAACGAGACAAAAGGGAAAACATGGGGCTTTCAAAGACTGCCCTCTCTCCGCTGAATGTTGGTCCAGCCTACTACAAGGATCCCGTATCCAGCAACCCCAAACTATACAAAGGGTAGCCATTCAAAGCCCCTATACTAGACTGGAGCTAAAGGAGAACGAAGAACAGAGTTCAAATCTCTTCAAGGATGTATCTTTTGATTTTAAAAGATTCACAGGGTCCATCGGGCTCAAGTACAAGCCCATATTTTACCCCCTCCCCTGTTGAGTACACACTATCAGCTAGTCATTTAAGCTTCAGCCCTTGTTTATTGATACTCTAGATCCTCTTAACATCTACATTAAATCCGTCCATCTTCTGGTTGGGATGCTCAATTTCAGCAGCCTTTGCCACCATGTATCACAGATCTTAATGCTAAGGCATACACTTAATAAACTGTACAAACTATCCAGAATCAAAATTGACAAATATACCTTTGAAGCTCCTGCAGCAGCTTTTGAATCACCAGTGTCAAGCTCTAGACATTCTACCCGTGTTGAGCCAGAATTTGTGAGTGAATGCTCAGTGGAACTTACTGAAGACTCTAGATCTATAATGGAACTTTTATGTATAGGAGATATAGGAACAGGTCTTAACACATGATTCTGCTTTCCATCCAAGGACTGGAATGCAGTAACTTGAATTCTTCCAACCTGGTACCAGAAAGACATGTTTAAAGATTAAGAAGCACTTAAAACATGTCAAAGGAATTGTTTTCTTTATAGCCATAAAAATTAGTGAGTTTCCATACACTAATAATGTAAAAGAAATTAGATATGGGACTCTAAAATCACAAGGTGTCACTGGTTTACTATCAAGGAGGCATAGCGCAGGAGTACCTTATTTTGTAGGACTTAAGATTCCCTATATATATATAGGGAGAGAGGGAGGGAGAGAGAGAGAGAGAGAGAGAGAGGACATTTGTTTTCATTTTAGAGTTACTATGGAAAATTCTTTACACTAACAGCTTAGAAAATAATCTCGACAAAATTTTAATTAAATTCAGAACCTTGTATTGATCTTCATTGAAACATGAAAAAATCAGCCCTATAAACCCAGAGTCTAGGAGTTGATACATAGCCTGAGTCCGTACATCTGCAGAAATTATAAGACACAATGATACATCTTGATCAGAGTAAGAAAAATAAATACATTTAACATAAATAGATGAACAGGCTATACTTTCCACCCTCCAAGAGTTGCATGCTACATTTTTCTAAATCCCTCCCATCCAAAATGAGTTCCAACACCCGGTGAATTTCATTTGCAAAAGTAGGGACACTCAATCTTGGACTAGGAATAGCATTCGTGAGAAAGCATAATAACACCAAGGATGATACAGTTTACGACTGTACAAATAGCGATAACAGTATTATAAAGTTCATTTGAGCGTCATGCTAACTACAGGGTCTCAAAGTTAGACTCTTCAGTCTTCCCATGCTTCTCTTAAGTAATGAGAAAATTAAAAAGATGTTGATTATCAGAAAATTTAACATAGAAACACCAGTGATCTATTAAATTTTCTGACTCAGAAGAAAACTATAAAGTTTCTCTTATTATGTGTGCAAATATCATGGAAACCCTTTTTTGAGAGCTGATATTGATAAATTGACAGCAATGTACAACTTTCAATTTTCACAACGCTGCTATTGCTTTGGATTTTTTCAATCTATTGCATGAGATAAAATTATTTATTGTTATTATGCACAGTAATTTACATGAACCATGATTATCACTAACTGCCCAAAACCCAATTAGTGTAACATAGAAAAATTTACAGATCAAAGGTTAGTCTGAAGTCTATACGCTTCCTCTCTTATCTATGAGCAGCTGCCATGTTCTTGCTTCTAAATTACAGTCATTTAGGCTTCTAGGAATATTAAATAAGTCAAATTTCTGCATAAAAGTTCTGACCTTTGTGTTATGGCAGGTGGCTGGATTCAAAATTCAGGTATTGGAAGGTTTTCAGTAAAAGCATATCTCATGTATAGACTATAGAAATTAGTACCTTTGTTAGTCAACCATATTCACTGTTTGCATCCCACACCTTTACAAAAAGAAAAGAAAAAACTCTCCATATAAGACTAGTAGTAGTATAAGAACACTTACCAACATGAGAAGGAAGTACTGTGATATGCGGATGTGAATGATACCAGCCAATCACTCGTGTGGTTCTTCCAATTTCCACCGTCATTTTGTGTTATGGAGTTAATTGAACAAATACAAGCATTTCTCACTCTCATTTCTCCCCTCCCCACCCATAAAGAAGAATATATTTAAGAAAAATTATAAACCCTTTGTATGGTCTGATGGACATTGTATTCACCCAATGGTTTGATAAAATGTGATTAATCTGAATGAAGTTTCAGCTGAGAATTATATTTTCTTAATAGAGCAGAATGAGAGCAACAGAATTAAAAGAAAATGAAGCTTCTCATACTAACAAGTTTAAGTAAGCTCATATAAAGGATATCTCAGCCTGAACTGATGCAGCTGTCAACTGTTCGGGATTTGTCTCAACGCGGTCCTTCTGCCTATCAGACCTTGGTTGTGGCAACGCTCCCCAAATCAGGGCAGTCACACTCCCATTCTTGGAGTGCTGAAATTGCAATTTTGCATATAAAAAACCAATTAGACATATGGCATCAAGGAAATCAATACCTGATAGCCAGACACGAAATTATTAACATAACTTGCAACATCGTAATCATCAACACAGAATCAGTGAGAAAATAACACAATATGTAAACCGTTATAAGCATCCCGTACGAGTAAGAAGTACCAAAACCAACCTTCCTAAAAAAGTGAACTAGTTTCCATTTCTGTTTATTAGGAGAAAAGATGGCAGCTCAAATAGGCAGAAATAATCAAATATAGCTCCCATGTTTATCTGCTCAATAACAATAAAAATATTATGGAACTAAAGGGGGATAAAATCATCTAGATGATCAACATTCAACGACTAAACATAAATCCCTCCACTTTAGCAAGGACATCACATCAGGTAAAAAACAGAAGAAACATGTTCCTGATCATACACTCTCCAAGCAGAACAATTACCAACGGGTTTAACAAAAATAAAGTATCCCCTTGCGCACGAGCAGTTTCAAGCAGATAAATTTCATACAGACCACGGAATCACACAGACATCCTCGATCAAATACGACTTTAATCACACAAAGTAATGGCAATAGCTCCGGAGCAGGCAAAATGTATAGATAATTTTTATTTGTAAAACTAAAGAAACCCTAAAAACAGTTGTAAATAACTAGAAAATAAGAAATAGAAAGAACATGAATGCAAAGGTATGACCTGAATATCACCGAGAAGAAGCCCCATGATTTCTTCAGTCTCGGTGGACAATGCATGAGTGAGACACGTTAACCACACATCCTCCGCCATTTTCACACTCGTTAGCGACATTCTGTCTTTCTACTTCTCTCTCCTACGAATTCCTCCGTTCCGGTCGTTCTCCGTCTCTCCGAATAAATCTCGACGGCTGGATGAGGTCGGAAAAAGGTCGGTCCGATCGGAGCAAAGGCGGTGGAGCTTTCGGCGATGACTTTAGGGAACTGGCTTTTGGTCAAGTGATTGTAATGCCCTGTGGGTGGTTGTAGATGGTTACGGTACATCAGCTACCCGATACCGTTTGTTTTGTTCTTCTACAAGGCAAGGTTTGGTGAATAGTAATGGATTTTGATAAACAACCCAAAAGTTGAAATTCAATTGATTTTAAGTGACTCTTATGTAAGGTTTGTTTGGTCGTTACTGAATGTTTTGAAATTCAAACATATTTTTTTAATTGGGTAAGATATGTTTGAAAAAAAAACTTGGTTTTAGGCAAAAAAAAAAAACTTCACTCTAAAAACTTATTGAATAAGTCATTTTTTATATCATAAAGTCACTACCAAACAGTTTGTATAGCTGACCGAATAAGTTGTTGAGTTCCATTAAACTGCCAACAAACGGACCCTAGGTTAAACGGGTGATAGGCACATTTTTAACTTTTGATTTTAATTAAAAGATGGGTAAAGATATTTGTTCCGTTGTTGACGCAAGACGAAAGATCATGTGAGAATAGAAGTTAAGGTAAAAATAATACGGAGGGATACGGACGTTTGATCAAAGGAATCGATTTAGTGCATTATGGTGCACCGCATTAGTGTTGATCTTTATTTATGATTGATCAAGAGGTGGAGATCTCTTTTTACATTTCTCACTATAACTTGCATTCTTACTGGAACCTAACCCGTTGATGCAACCCATAAATTGAGAAAGAAAGTTGGTCATTTTTCTTATCCTGCTCTACTTTTGTCTCCTCCTTCCCTCACACAGTGTCGATGTAAAATTAACAGTTTGATGTTAAACCATGGTTACCGCAACCACCGTCGACCATCGGCCACCACCACCCATCACTGCCACCTCCACCAACATCGGCTATCACTCCCACCACCATCCATCATATCGATCACCATGTTGTCACGTCGGTCACTGGCAACTTCTTTGATCGCCGCAACAACCGTTGTCGTTAGAACAACCTCCGCAAGCACCAGACACCACAAATAAAACACAATCTTTTTTCTCCGTATACGAATTGGGTTCCTTTGAAATATCATCTAATGCATCAAAATCTTTTAAGTATTGGATGTATGTATGTGTGTGATACTTGTGCAATTTAAACATTTACTTAACTTATATCAATGACGACTATCATATGATATATATTTATGGGGCAACCTGTCCAACCCAATCTCCCGTTTTTTACTCGTACCAAACATCAAACAGACAACTTGTCATATTCAATTTAGTCTAATCTCGTTCCAACCTTTATGTGCATAAAAGTAACAAACAAATAGAAGATATGACACCATTAAATCTCTATATTGAACTGTGGTTGATTTTGGTTATCTCACGTGATGTATATATTAAAGGAGTAGATTATATATATATATATATATATATATATATAGAGAGAGAGAGAGAGAGAGGAGGTTTACTTTACAAATCACGTTATTTGTACAAACCGTACAAACTTCATTCAACCGATCATAATTTTTCATTTTGTTCATTTTTTTGTAATTATAAAAGGTTAATTAATCATTTTTATTGTGGATGGTGTTAATCATGGATATTATCATCTTCATAATATTAATATTAGAGAAATACATGAAACAGTTTCATTAAATTCCATAATTATTATATGAAATAATTTTATAACCATATACGAAACAATTTTATCAAAAAAAAAATATTATATGAAATAATTTCATAAGATTAAATAATTTCATTAATTTTTTTTATAAAATTAACGAATAAAGATGATTTGCACGGTTTGTACAAATATGAGTGGTTTGTATTTAATTGTTATTCTCTCTCTCTCTCTCTCTCTATATATATATATATATATATAAAGTATAAATTTGAAATAGATTATGTGACAAAGATAAACTACTTATTTCTATTATGTTCTATATCCCATGGATGAGGAATGAAAGAGACAATAAAGAGGATGGTAGAAAAAGAAAGGACAAATAATGGAACAATGTACATTTTTTTGGAAGTATATCTATATTTCTATTATAAAATATTTGATAAAAAAAAATTAAAATTGTTTTTTATACATGAAATACTATTTATTCATGCATATTATTTAAAACTAGAAGAGTACTCGCACAATGCAGCGAGACACATCTTGATTTTAATGTTCTATTTCATTATTTGTCGCTGTCGATGTTATAATACTATTTTATGTGTTTTTAAGAAAACAATAATGATTTTATTTTTGAATAAAATATAAATTTAAAAATATCATAAAAATTTGAAAAAATAATATATTGATGTTAATATCAAATCAGTTATTTAAAAGTTCTTATTTTTTTATGTAATTTCTTTAATTTATATTTTTTATTACTAGAAGAGTACTCGCGCAATGCAGCGAGATA